CAAACTGTTCATCATCTTAACAACTTCTGAGGGTCAGGATTCCTAGAGCAGCTTAACTGGGAAGTGTGGCTTAGGGTCTCTCAGAAGGCTTCAGTGGTGGCTCAATGGAAAAGAATCAGCCTGCCAATGCAAGAGATGCAGGTCCAACCCCTGAGTCAGGAAGAACTCCTGGAGTAGGACATGCCAATCCACTCCAGTATTCTTGTCTGGAAAAGCCCATGGACAGAGGAGCCTGGTGGGCTACAGTCCATAATGTCTCAAACGAGTTTGACATGACTTAGGGACTAAACAACAGTAAGCCACCAGCCAGGTCTCTGAAGACCGGGCTTGCTATGGAGAGATGCATGGCCAAATCCACTGTTAACAGGAGGCTTCAGTTCCTCCCCACGTGGGCTTTCATGGGAATGCTCTCTACACTGCTTCCCCTCCAGACAGTGATGGAAGATCAAATTTGCTTTTAAATATAATCTGGCAAAATAAATAAATAAATATAATCTGGCTTCTGTTAATACTTAAAACAAAGAACAAGAGGCAACGGGAAGCCATCAGTTGTTTTTGATTAGAGAGATGTCAGTCAATCTACAATTTTTCATCTAAGCCCCTAAATAACTAGAAAGTGACTCTAATTACAGAGAGCCTTAGTCTTTAAGTTGGTCACTGTTCCATAAAAGCACAGGGTAAATAAGCAAGCAAATAACTGAATTAACATACCTTCAAATTCAATACCAGTGAAAAAATGTGAGCCCAGAAAAGCTAAATGACAGCACTTCCATCAAAGCTCATCAGACTTTATGCAGCTTATCATCACTTTGTAAAGTTCTTCCACAGTGAGGTGGTTGAAGGTGTTATAGTCCATTCTTTCCTTTCATGTAAAAGTGGTCTTAGTTTTCTCTAAATATCTAATTGAGGTAGAAATTGTTACACAGTGTATAAGTCAGAGCCTCAGTTCTTTTTCTAATTTCAATTTTAATTCTCACACACAAGCATTTTACTCCTTGAAAAGATATATTTATTGCTCCAGATTATAGACATTCAGAGGAATGCCTCCCTGGTCTGGAGGGTCATAAAACATTCAGACCCAGGACAAGACAATCATAAACTGCTCTCCAGTATATCAAGGAGAAAAACTCCAGGTAAACAATTAGCTCCTAAACACACATCTAGCCCCTAAATAATGCTCTGAGATCTTGAGAATGGGTCAAGGGATGGCATCTCAAAGTCTAGAAAAACTGAGAAACTGGGGGATCCAAGAAAGCCATAAAAATGACAAACTGGACAATGCAACATTTAAACTGATTGGTCAAAAATTACATGGATCTGGCCCTTAGCCAACCAAAAACGAACAGATCAATTCTAATAAAGACATAAAAACTACTGTCATTCCCACTTTCGGGGTTTCTCAGTGTCAACGCTGAGGGCTTTGTATCTCTATCCTCCAAAATAAACTTTGCCTGCATGAGTGTTTGCAAGTTTGCGAAGTCCATTTCTCGGCTCTGTGAACAGAACTTGGTTCCCTGTTTCACAAGGAAGCTGAAAACGCCAGAATTTCAAACTGAGATAATGCTTCAGGAGTTCTATTTTGAGTGTTTTTCAAACTAGATAACTGTTTCCTTTCAACTCTATCAGATTATTCTTAACACCAATTTATGTAGACTATCAAGCAATAAATCACAAAATCTTATGATGTGATTGTTCTTACTTGCTGAGGTCTATCCTAATGGCCCCAAATACCTATCTTGCCCTTTCTACCCAAATATTCACTTTACTCCTGGATACAGAAATTCACCCATCCACTGGAACCTGGCTTTGGAGTCCACTGATATAAGACAGATTGTCTGAAATTGTACCCTGATGCTCACAACCACTGTGAGTGCCACTACAGAGTCTGGCTTTGGGTTTCCCCAGTCTGGACCATGGTTGGGAAGCCCACCTTAGTCAGCAGTTGGCTTAAGAAGAGAATCCAAACATGCCCCAGTGTCATCCTTTCTGGTCGCTCTTCCCTGCATCATTCAGCCAGGTACAATAACCCCTCCATGTTGCTTCCGGTCACTTTTCTCTCTGACTGGTACCCCCCAGCCTTCTTTATACATAAACTTTATACATAAACTCCCCAAAGCATGGCTGACATAGGTTGTAGTCTGTAACAAACTTTCCTGAGGATGATGAACAACTATTATATTGCAAAGAAAAACTTCAAATTAGATATTTGGTTCCACTGCTGTTAAATTTGTCTGCCTGGGCCCTTCCAACAAAGGGTCCCCTGCTGACTACCTCTCCAGATCCAGCCTCAACCCACACAGAGGTTCCTGATGCCTTGACCCTGTCTCCAGAGCCCCAACCAAGAGAAGCAAAGCACTTAACCTCTTCTCCGAGAGACAGTGTCGGACTGCAGGAAAGACAGCCTTTTGCATTTTTATACAGAACCATTTAGTTTCTCTTTGTCTCAAATTCTCTCTTCTGTGACAGGATCCAGGTAGAACCCCAAGGCTCTAGGAGATTTCCTCTGAAATTAATAAGCAATCATCCTCCAAGAAGAATTCTGCCACTTTACCTGCAACCACAAACTCAACCTGAGTTCTGGTACCCCCTGTAAGTACAAACCAGTGGCCCAGAACTGGGCAGCCTGAGGGCAATAAGAATTCCCTAGAGGACCACAGCTAGGTTCAGACTAGTGAAACTGCAGTGATTGATTATAAACAAAAATGCCCAAACAAGCTGTGCTGAGGTCCTCTTGGGCCATAGCAGGGAGGCAGGCAATAGATCCCAGAAACCAGGCAGGGGACCAGGAGCCAGTGATCTGCGTATACTGAAAAATGCAGTTCAGGTGCAAACAAGGGAACATCTGGGAAGAATTGTGATAAACACTCAATGCCCTTCTAGATTCTTAATCTCAAACTACCAGAAACTTCTGGAAGGCATATTTGTCCCTGACAATGGTGACTAGCAGAGGTGAAATGGAAGGGGAAAATGAGAGTACTCCTTAAACACTGTACATGCCATATTTCACTTAACCTGTTGCAGAAACTAGTACTCGAGAAACCAAGCATCACGCTCGGAGAGTTGGAGAACTCAGGTTTATTAGCCAGCGGGCCCAGAGGAGTTAACACTCCAAGCTCTGAGCCCCGAACAAAGGGATTACAGAGTTTTTATAAACAGAGGGCCAAGAGGAGCTACTCCACGTTCAAGGTCAGGAGGGGCAGCTGTGTGGAGATACCCCTTGTTCAAGGAAAGGAGCAGTGGCTGCGCTTGGCCGAAACAGCCGTGAAGAGATACCCCACATCCAAGGTAAGAGAAACCTAAGTAAGACGGTAGGTGTTACAAGAGAGCATCAGAGGGCAGACAGACTGAAACCACAATCACAGACAACTAGCCAATCTGATCACATGGACCACAGCCTTGTCTAACGCAATGAAACTAAGCCATGCCGTGTGGGGCCACCCAAGATGGATGGGTCATGGTAGAGAGGTCTGACAGAATGTGGTCCACTGGAGAAGGGAATGGCGAACCACTTCAGTATTCTTGCCTTGAGAACCCCATGAAAGGAGGTGATGGAATTCCAGTTGAGCTATTTCAAATCCTAAAAGATGATGCTGTGAAAGTGCTGCACTCAATATGCCAGCAAATTTGGAAAACTCAGCAGTGGCCTCAGGACTGGAAAAGGTCAATTTTCTTCCAATCCCAAAGAAGAGCAATGCCAAAGAATTTTCAAACAACCACACAATTGCACTCATCTCCCATGCTAGCAAAATAATCCTCAAAATTCTCCAAGCCAGGCTTCAACAGTACCTGAACTGCAAACTTCCAGATGTTCAAGCTGGATTTGGAAAAGGCAGAGGAACCAGAGATCAAATTGCCAACNCTTGGGAGTCCCTTGGACTGAAAGGAGATCCAAGCAGTCCATCCTAAAGGAGATCAGTCCTGGGTGTTCATTGGAAGGACTGATGCTGAAGCTGAAACTCCAATACTTTGGCTACCTCATGTGAAGAGTTGACTCACTGGAAAAGACCGTGATGCTGGGAGGGATTGGGGACAGGAGGAGAAGGGGATGACAGAGGATGAGATGGCTGGATGTCATCACTGACTCAATGGACATGAGTTTGAGTAAACTCTGGGAGTTGGTGATGGACAGGGAGGCCTGGTGTGCTGCAATTCATGAGGTCGCAAAGAGTCGGACACAACTGAGCAACTGATAAACAGACTGTAGTGGGCAACACTAGCTGTTAATAGGCTGGTTTAAACTAAGGGGTTTCACGCACATGGGAACAGTGGTCAAGATGGGGAAGAGGGATGCCTGACTTTACACAAACAGGCATGATTAAGCAGGTTTGCATGGCCTGGGCGATTGCAAAGAGCAGGAAAAGAGTGAGTGAGATAAACTCCAGTTCCTAGTATTGCAAGCCCCCACTTTCTGAGACTATGTGACCTGCATGATCTAGATTTTGCAAGGGGCAAGCTGAGTTACAGAGGCAGAAGGAGAGGGAGGTTATATAAAATTTTAACTTTTTCTCTTCAAATTAAGTCACACTTGGGGGACACTTAATTTTTTTCAATTTTCATTACAATATTGTAAGTTAGTTTATGACTTTTATTTTATTTTTTTGCTGATCTTTTCCATAAATCCATGTCTACCTCCCCAGGACAAATTTTAGAACGCCTATATAAAAGACTGTGACTATTTTTCTGATTGTGACGGATAGCATCTAGGCACAAGATGCCTAGTTTTGCCATCAATGTACTTTTCTGATATCTGTGAGGACTCATTTGATCATTGCTACTGTACTTTCTAGGTTTATTTAGTTAGTTTACTGGCAAGTTAAACAACTCATTACAGAGGAAGTTGAAGTAAAATAAGCTGGGAGGTGTTGAAATAGTGGAAATTTTCAAGTTAGAACAAAATGAAAGAGAATGGGTTTAAGAGAAGAGAGAGGTATAAAGACAGTCACCAGCAACCAAATTTCTCCCCAGTCCCCTCTGGAGACAACCCTCCTCTTCAGAACAACATGATGCTCAAGGTATTGTTTCCTTTAATGGGGCTTATTTAAACTGGTTTTTCTAACTTTCCTTTTCCTCTCAGCTTTCTCAGTTCCTCTCCTTTGAAGAGTTACTTGCTTCTACCTTAAAAATGTCATTTCAATATTTTTCATAGCATCTTGTTTTTCATTAATGTTTTACCAAGAATAGATGTAATTCTCTGATTAAAAAAAAACAGGAAGAAAATGAATCAGTATAAGTTCATGGAATTTTAACCTTCTAGTTTAACAAGTATCCATTACGACGTTGCCATACTGCTTTCCTAATTATCTGTCTACTGTCCTTAGTCCCCAGGAAAAGATTATTATTTTTGTGGCACGAACCATAACATCTTGGTTTGGTATTCTAGAGTCCTTAGCACAGGGCATACGCATAGCAAGAACTCGTGAAATATTAGTGGTTAGCACAGGGCATACACATAGCAAGAACTCGTGAAATATTTATTAAATAAGTGCATGAGTGTGTGCTAAATCACTTCAGTCATGTCTGACTTTTTGCAACGCTATGGACCAGTCTCCTCTGTCCATGGGATTTTTCAGGCAAGAATACTGGAGTGGGGTTGCCATGCCCTCCTCCAGGGGATCTTCCCCATCCAGGGACTGAACCCGCGTTCTTTATTTTACCATAATTTATGCATTAGTCATAGTATCTTTACTAAGAGCAGATGTAAATGCCAGGAGAAAAATCAAGACCAAAAAGATATTTTAGAAATAGATGGCACAAGGTGAAAATGGCTAAGAAGTTGCACATTTGTTTCCTAGTGTTCCCTGCCTCAGGGGCCACCAAGAGATCATTTATTCTTTGGCACATGGGGTGGTGTTCAGGACTTGTCGGGGGTCTGCTGGGGCCCTACTTTTTCTTTCTTTCTTTCTTTCTTTTTTTAAGTTTTTTTTTTATTTTTTATGTGGACCATTTTTAAAGCCTTTTAAAAATTTGTTACAATATTGCTTCTGTTTCATGTTTTGGCTTTCTGGCCCCAAGGTATGTGGGATCTTAGCCCCCGACCAAGGATTGAACCCACACCCCCTATATTAGAAGGTGAAGTCTTAACCATTGGACCATCAGGGAAGTCCCCGGGACCTACTCCACGCCCAGGCATGTTCACTTGATGGGCCAGACATCTCTCCTCCCCTCCCCTTCTTAGTCTCTTCCTGNTTTTGGCTTTCTGGCCCCAAGGTATGTGGGATCTTAGCCCCCGACCAAGGATTGAACCCACACCCCCTATATTAGAAGGTGAAGTCTTAACCATTGGACCATCAGGGAAGTCCCCGGGACCTACTCCACGCCCAGGCATGTTCACTTGATGGGCCAGACATCTCTCCTCCCCTCCCCTTCTTAGTCTCTTCCTGCCTCCACCAAAGCCCACCACGCTCTGTGGCCATTATCTGCTTGCTCCTCTGTGTCCTCAACTCGACTGAGGACAGAAACTGGCCATCATACATTTCCACATCCCTCTGCCTCATACATATGTTCACTACACGTCACTTTGTAGGATCTGAACTTAATTTGACCAACTGGGTTTCCTGTAGTGGAGCACACTCTTTATGCAGAAGTACCTTGAGTTCTCATATAGAAAGGAAGTGTGTGAATACAGAGTAATCATAGCCTTGCTCTAACACTCTTGCCTTTAAAGTCTGTCACAGAAAGCTTTGCCAAAGTGATCCACGGCTTGAAGGTGGGACACCTGACGGATCGTGTCATTCAAAGGAGCAAGAGGATGGTTCTGGATGCTCTGGGAGTGGGGCTCCTGGGAACCAGAACAGAAGTGTTTCACAAAGTCAGCGGATACAGTAAAGTAAGAAGCTCCATGTCTACTTTAGAACTGAAACCAGGAGTGGACACACACCTGTCTGTGAGACGTATCCAGGGACATGCATTTGTGTTCTACTGCTCTACTCTTCATTTTAGAGAGAGCGCCTGCTGAATATAGCATTGTGGTTTACAGTTTTATGCTTTTCTATGCTGTATTTGTTGTTGTTGCTGTTCAGTCACTCAGTAGTGTCCAACTCTTCGAGACCCCATGGACTGCAGCACGCCAGGCTTCTTTGTGCTTCACTGCCAGAGTTTGTTCAAACTCAAGTCCATTGAGTCAATGATGCCATCCCACCATCTCATCCTCTGTTGTCCCCTTCTCCCCCTGCCCTCTATCTTTCCCAGAATCTAGGTCTTTACCAATAAATCGGCTCTTTGCATCAGGTGGCCAAAGTACTGGAGCTTCAGTTTCAGCATCANACCCCATGGACTGCAGCACGCCAGGCTTCTTTGTGCTTCACTGCCAGAGTTTGTTCAAACTCAAGTCCATTGAGTCAATGATGCCATCCCACCATCTCATCCTCTGTTGTCCCCTTCTCCCCCTGCCCTCTATCTTTCCCAGAATCTAGGTCTTTACCAATAAATCAGCTCTTTGCATCAGGTGGCCAAAGTACTGGAGCTTCAGTTTCAGCATCAGTCCTTCCAATGAACATTCAGGCTGATTTCCTTTAGCATTGACTGGTTTGATCTCCTTGCTGTCCAAGGGACTCCCAAGTGTCTTCTCCAGCATGAGAATTTCAAGGCATCAGTTCTTCAGTGTTCAGCCTTCTTTATGGTTCAACTCTCACATACGTACATCTATGCTTTATATTACCTGAGTCTTTGTATACATCCACATCGTTTACTAAGTCACTGTTTTAAGGCCAGTCTTAATCTTAAGGCTAGCAATATCTCAAGTTGATTACTATTATAACTGAAAGCACAGTTTTACCTGAGAGTCTTGGTGGCCATAGCACCTGCCCTGAGCCATTTGTTCTTGCAAAGATTTGAAGATTTTCTGGAGAAAAGCCTGGACTAGCCTGCAGGTGTTTACATGGGAGATGTGCACCCACCCACCAAAGAATACGCTTGATAGAAACGACCAGCCCACCTTTTCCTAGTGTTTATCTTCAAGGAGTAAATAAGAGTAAATTCAGATTTCATTCCTTGGTGCACTTAGGGATCACAGTCTGGGATTGAGTGACAGCATCTCCTCTCCCTTCCATGGAGAAAGTTGCATTTTTGTTCTACATGGAAGTGAGAAATCCAATGACTAGGGCTTCAATTTAGCACAGAGGCCTCAATAAGGAGTAATAAAGTAGTGTCTCCAAAAATGAAGAACAACTATTGAAATGGTGACTTGACATGTAGGTTCATACCTGTATCACTGATTGGTATTCTTTCATTCCAGATCTATAGTTCCAATGTATCCAGCACCGTTTGGGGCCAGCCAGAACTCAGGCTCCCACCAACCTATGCTGCTTTTGTTAACGGTGTGGCTGTAAGGAAATTTCCATGATTTTCCTACTGTTCAACAATCAGAATAATTTCAGAGCCAGAAGATATCTCATAAATTTCCCAGTTTTCATATCCTACTGATGAGTTCCTTGAAGTTCGGAGAGGTGAAGTGGCCTGCCGTCTCTCCTATGTTGTAATTTCAGTTTCATGTTTTTACAGTGAATTGGCTTTTGAAATTGTGAAGGAGAGGAAATAAGATGGAAATATTTTGAAAAAAATGCTCCTAAATTATCTCAACTCTAAATTAAATATCCAGACTCAATTCCTTTTTAATCCCTTCTGTTGTGGCCAGTATCAGTTTCTATTCAGCAACCAGCCTTTCATTCAATCAGCAGATATTTATCAAGATAGAAACAATGACCATCTGGTGTCTATTTTTTTCTGAACCAAAAATCAGGACTTCTCATCTGAGAGACAATTTATATGACTTTTCTGTGTGTCAGGAGCAGTCTACGAGATATAATTTGGACATGAACCTGTTGGGAATTCTGAGATATTTTTATGGTTTATGGGAATGGTAGTACAGAAGATCGAAAGTCAAATCCGATGGTGCATCCACAAGTAAACATCCAGTAAGCCGTAGGGAAGGCACCAGCCACAACGAGACAAAAATCTACTTTAAATTGAGCTTCTGGTTATTACTATTTCATGTAAGGAAAAAACAAATGACTGGGATGAGAAGGAATAAAACCTTATAGCAGAAAATAATGATCTAAAAATATAGCTTAATAGTTAATCTGGGTTCAAGAGTTCTTGCAACTTCTTTATAAATTTGAAATTATTTCACAACAAAAAGGGCTCAGAAAATATGGCCTAATATGGAATAAATGACATTAAACTCTTCATGTGACTTGTTGGAAGGTCAAAGAGGGAGGGAGGAGAAGCTACCTAATTCTACAGCTTTGTTTATAAGGAAGTTATGGATCTTTCCAATGGTAGCCCCTGAGTAAGACCCAAGCTCCTTGCAGTTCACTAGCTGCTCTGGAAGGCCCCACTTGATCTGGCCAGAGGACAGCATATCTAGTGCCCAACCATGTGATTAAGAATCACAGAGAGTTCATAGGTTTAATATTCAGAGGATCAGATATAAAAATGTCATATCAAACAAGGTTATTACTGAAATAAACCCTGACTGGTCCAAGGGCCATCACATGAAGGGAGACACATTTAGGTTCTGGTTGTTGTTTGTGTGTCTGTTCACACAGATCCACTCAATGGATTTTGATGACACGTGGTATCCTGCCACCCACCCTTCTGGACCTGTCCTTCCTGTCCTCATGGCTCTATCAGAAGCCCTGCCACCAAGTCCAAAGTATTCTGGCCTTGACCTGCTGCTGGCTTTCAATGTTGGTATTGAAGTTCAAGGCCGATTACTGCGTTTCTCCAAAGAAGCCTATGACATACCAAAGAGGTATGGAGAAAGTGTGCCCCATCCTGAGGCAGCCACATTCCCCTTCATCTGTTAGTCGTTATCTCTGTGGAGCTTACTGATATAGAGGTTGGCTCAGTGGAAGCTGTTGTCATTAGTGCTGGCAGGTAAGTCCACTCAACCAGATATCAAACTGCTTATTCCATATAGAAAAGTGTGACCTCAGAAGTGCTAGTGAAAAGTCTCCACTGGGTTTAGCGAGCCAATCGAGCAACCAGGACCATAAACAGATCTGGATCTCCTAACCCCAAGGTGATCATGACATGCTGGCCTCCGTGGGTACTCCGAATAGCCCTCAGCTCACCTCAAAGCAGAATCTACTTTGGTATTTCTAGGGTCCTTCAGATGAATAAGAACATACAGAATACCCTAAACCTGACTACTCAACCCACAGATCAAAAATGTTCAAATGCTGACTGTATCATATGGTTCAATCTAATATTTATTTTGCCATTTGTTCCAGCCTTCCAGGAGAGGAATAAATAAGGAGATTGAGTAAGCATTCACAGTTTCTATTGAGTTTTTACAGTTACTTACAGAGGCTTTCAGCAATCAAAAACTTCTGCCTTTTGGGCAATAACTGTAACAGTGAAAGTGAAGTGAAAGTCACTCAGTCGTGTCCGATTCTTTGAAACCCCATGGACTATACAGTCCATGGAATCCTCCAGGCCAGAATACTGGAGTGGGTAGCCTTTCCCATCTCCAGGGGATCTCCCACATTGCAGGTGGATTCTTTACAAGCTGAGCCACCAGAGAAGCCCAACTGTAACAGGACCATTTATAAATAATTTACTATTATTTACATCAGGCCCTGTTGTAATTATATGAATTTATTCAAAACTCACAGGGAAGTTACTATTATGATGATGATGATGATCACTTTAAGAGAAAACAGGTACAGAGAAGTTAATAACTTTTCCAAGATCACATAGCTAATGAGAGGAAGAGCTGAGATTTGAATGTAGGCATTAGGGCTCCATTAGCTAAACTCCTGACCACTGTACTATACTGCCCCCTGGCAGCTGAAGTTTTTAAGTCTCCACCTCTGTGTTCTTTTGCTTTTTAGGTTCCATCCCCCCTCAGTGGTGGGAACTTTGGGGAGTGCTGCTGCCGCATCTAAGTTTTTGGGGCTCAGCGTGACAGAGTGCCAAGAGGCCCTGGCTATTGCTGTTTCTTATGCTGGGGCACCCATGGCAAATGCTGCCACTCAGACCAAGCCACTTCACGTGGGCAATGCTGCCAGGCATGGGCTAGAAGCTGCTTTCCTGGCAATGCTGGGTCTCCAGGGAAACAAACGGGTTTTGGATTTGGAGACAGGGTTTGGGGCCTTCTATGCCAACTATTCTCCTAAAGTCCTTCCAGACCTAGAGTCACACACTTGGCTTCTGGACAAGCAGGATGTGGCCTTCAAGCGTTTCCCTGCCCATTTGGCCACCCACTGGGTGGCAGACACAGCTGCATCTCTGAGAAGGCACCTTGTATCAGACAAAGCCCCGCTGCCCATTGACCGCATTGAGAGAATTGTGCTGCGAATCCCAGACGTCCAGTATGTGAACAGGCCCTTCCCCAGCTCCGAGCACGAAGCCCGCCACTCCTTCCAGTATGTGGCCTGTGCCACGCTGCTCGACGGCGCCATCACTGTCCCAGCCTTCCACAAACACCAGATCAACAGGTCACAGGTGAGACAGCTGCTTGGTAAGGTGGAGCTGGAGCACCCTCGAGACAACCTACCAAACTTCAACTCACTGTACTGTGAGATGAGTGTGACCCTCAAGGATGGAGCCGTCTTCACAGAGCGTTCGGATACCTTCTACGGTCACTGGAGGAAGCCTCTGAGCCAGAAGGACCTACAGGAAAAGTTCAGAGCCAATTCCTGCAGGATGCTGTCCTGCCACGCTGTAGAAAGGCTTCTAGAGACAGTAGGAAACCTAGAAGACCTGGAAGATTGCTCTGTGCTAACCACACTTCTGAAAGAACCCTCTCCACCAAAGATAGCTTCAAAATCTATCTAGCATTTAACAATTCCATCATACAATCTCTCCTGTGGCTTGACAACATCCAAGTGACTTTGTATTGGGGGAAATTCAATTCTCTGCTGTAGAGAACAAGGGTCTGTCCTTGGCCTGCCTGGCAATAAGGGCAGCACGCTTCAGGGCCCAGACACAGAACTAGATATACATGGAAGCAGTCTTGCCCTGTAAATTTTGCAAGATGGTTCCAGTAACCTATTTTGGCAAGGTAATGAAGGTGCAAGAAACACAGAGAATTTTTTTTAAAAGCATTCATAAGGCTGAAATTCAAGTCACCTGTGCTTAGCTTAAACTTTTCAGAGGAGTTTTTTATGAACCTTTATGAACCTCGAGACGTGAGAGGGATTTGAACTTATACATAAAACTTGCTGACAGTGAAGATGGCTCTGATCTGTTGTGGCGCCAACAGACTTCTTAGACTATGAGTTATAAGAAGCCCTTCACAATGGAGGGGATGCTATTGGGTTTAAAATAAGGGCTTCATTGTTTCAAATCCTGCCTCTGCCATTGACTAGATGTGGCACTGGGCATGGTTTGGGGTATCCCTCAAGTTATGCTTTAATTTTTAAAAAAAAGTATAAAAAATAGAACAGTTTGACTCTAGAAGCAGTATTCTTAATACAATCTATCATCTTTCATTATAAAAAATAATTTTGAGACTAATATCATGGATGTAGAATCTGAGATGTAATAAAGTATGACAGCCAAAACATAGCATATATGTGGATAGTCAAATAGTATTAAACTGTATAAAACAATTAAATGTCTTGTGGGGTTAAAATTGCCACATTAGTATTATATATACATAAGCAGGGAGTTACTAGAGTTCATGTAGTCTAAATTCCTTGCATTGTCCAAGAAAAGGGCAAGCTATTAACTCTAGACTTTGACTTGCAAGTGTGTATGTTGACATTTCTAGGGTGACTATATTAAAAAACAACAGTAGAATGTATCACTTCCAGGTTAATAGAAGAAGAAATAAGGAATTAGGTAAAAATAATCCGAAGTAAAGTAAGAAAGGAAGGGGAAAAGAAATACAGAAAAGACAACAAACAGAAAGCACAATATAAAATGACAGGAAAAAAACCTAAATATACCTACAAATATACTACAAACATACAAATATACTACTTTACATGTCACAATTCATCCATTTTACATTTTATTAGTTTTAATAAATGCATAGAGTCGTGCAAATATCACTGCAATCCAGTTTTGGAAAACCACCACTTTCAAACACCCCTTAGGCCTGTTTGCAATCAATTCTCACTCCCATCTCCAGTCCTCTCCAGTCCTCAGCAGCCAATGATCTGCTTTCTATCTCTACAGTTTTGTCTTTTTCCAACATTTCATATAAATGGAACCATACAATATATAGTCTTATGTGTCTGGCTCTTTCACTTAGCATAAGAGTTTTATTCCACATATGTATAAGTACTTTATTCCCTTTCATTGCTGAGTAGCACCCCATCATATGGATACACCACATTTGTTTACCCACTCATTGGTTAAAGAGAAGGTAGATAGCTTCCACTTTGGGGCTGTTATGAAAAAAATGCTTCTATGAACATTCACAAACACGTCTTTCTGGGAACATATCTTTCCATTACTCGGGTGGATTCCTACGAGCAGGAGTGCTGGATCATTTGGTAATTACTTATTTATCTGTATTAAAAACTGTTTTCCAAAGTAGCTTTATCACATTACATTTCCGCCAGCAATATATGATGGTTTCAGTTTTCTCCTTATTTTCACCAAACTTTGGAATTATCAGTCTTTGTCATTTTAGCCAGTCTAGTGAGTATATAATTGTATCTCATTGTGGTTTTAATTTGCATTTTCCTGATGACTAATTCTTGCCCATTTTTGCCTATTATTTTAATTATGTTATCTTCTTATTGAGTTTTAAGACTTCATTTTCTATTCTGACCATAATTCTTTAATAAATACATGTTTTACAAATATTATCTACCAATCTGTTGCTTGTCTTATTGTATTTTTAATGGTGTATTTTGAAGAGCAGAAATTTAAAATTTTGATCAAGTATTTTTTGGCCATTTTTAAAAATAATTTTTGTTCTTACTTTTGGTATTACTAGAAGGGATTTTAAAAATCCAGTTATGTACTTTATTTAAGACACATAAAGATAAAGAAAAGCTGAAAGTAAAAAAGATGAGGGAAATGTAGCTAGAATATTAACAAAAGAAAGAGAATAAAAAAATTTAATATTAAAAAAGAATTCAAGCAAAAAAAACTTTACTAGAAAAAAGATAATAATGATAAATTGAAGCCATTAGAGAACTAAAATAATTCTAAACTTCTGTATCTAAATACTACTAAACTGCAAAGAGAAATAGATAAATCCAACATTTATATTTTTGAAGAATTTTAACATTTCTTCCATAGTAGTTTATATTTCAAGGAAACCAAAAATAAACAGACTATAAAAGATTTAAACACACTCAACACATTTTATCTAATGGACATATACAGAGTTGTGCACTCAACAACTAGAGAGTTCACAATCTTATAAAAACCTCGCAGAGCATTTATAAAAATGGACCACATACTTGGGCACAAAGCAAGTCTCAACTTTTGAAAGCACTGGATCATCCAGATCATTATCTCTAATCACAATACAATCAAGTTAAAAATCAATATAATAAAACAGGAGATTCGTATGGACACATACGCACTAGGTATTCAACTCTTTGTGACCCCATGGACTGTAGTCCACCAGGCTCCTCCGTCCATGGGATTTCCCAGGCAAGAATACTGGAGTGGGTTGCCATTTCCTTCTCCAAGGAACCTTCTGACCCAGGGATGGAGCCAGTGTCTTCTACATTGCAGGCAGATTCTTATACGGTCTGAGCCAGGGGGGAAACCCATATATAAAATAGATAACTAATAAGGACCTACTATACAGTCCAGGGAACTCCACTCAGTACTCTATAATGGTCTATATGGGAAAAGAAGCAAAAAAAGAGTGGACATATGTATATGTAAAACTGATTCACTTTGCTGAAACTAATATAACATTTTAAATCAACTACATCCCAATAAAAAAATGTATTAAACTTCTTAAAAATCATTTTTAAGTTGAAAAAGATCAATGTAAAAATACAATCAGAAAAGCCTGACACATTTAGAAATAAACAATTCCTCTAAATAACTCAAATCACAAAAGAAGTTATAGAGAAAATTATAAAACATTTAGAACTAACCAGTAACAAAAATGCCACATATCAAAATTTATAGGATATAATAAAAACGGTACTTATAAATTTAGAATTTTCTTATCACTGGCTCTGTATTACATGGATTCAGCATTCAAAAACTAAAATCATGCCCTTTGGTCCATCACCTCATGGCAAATAGATGGGGAACAATAGAAACAGTGACAGACTTTCTTTTCTTGGGCTCCAAAATCACTGCAGATGGTGACTGCAGCCATGAAATTAAAAGATGCTTGCTCCCTGAAAGAAAAGCTATCACCAACCTAGACAGCATATTAAAAAGCAAAGACATTACTTTACCAGCAAATGTCCAACTAGTCAAAGCTATGGTTTTTCCAGTAGTCATGTATGGATGTGAGAGTTGAACCATAAAGAAAGCTGAGGGCCAAGGAATTGATGCNGAGCACCCATCTCATGCATCTAACCTGAGCTGGTGATCTGCTTCTGGAGATTCCTTTAAAAACTGGAAATAGAACTGCTATAAGACCTAGCAATTCCACTGCTGAGCATACACACTGAGGAAACCAGAATTGAAAGAGACATGTGTACCCCAATGTTCATCTAAGATTTCTATACAGCAAATATATGGTAATTAGGAGTAGCTTGGGGGAGAATTTTCAACCCCTGAATGTCAATATATAATGTTTACCAGGTAAGGAAATAGCAAAGTTCAAGGGTTTTTATTGGCATATTTACATTACCCATTCTTTTTGATGAAAATTAGATACTAAAATTATAAAAATATGTATACATGGTATGATTATTTTGATTATGATTAGAATATTGGTACCATATTACATCACATATATACAGTGTCCTTGGTGATTCCGATGGTAAATCTGCCTGTAGTGCAGGAGACCCAGGTTCAATCCCTGGGTTGGGAAGATCCCCTGGAAAAAGGAGTGGCAACCCACTCCAGTATTCTTGCCTGGAGAATTCCATGGACAGAGGAGCCTGGTGCGCCACAGTCATTAGGGTTGCAAAGAGCTGGACATGACTGAATGACTAACACTTTCACTTCATATAGTGTCCATGGACATCTTTGAAAGGAGATTATTCTTCCTATTATAAGTTAAAAAACTTTTAATGTTTTCTTATGTCTGTTTTAAAATATGACATCAGCCTTACTTTTCAACCCCTTGAAGGTATTTCAGATATATTCCAAATTTTTATAGTCACTTTCAAGTATCACACCAATTTCATTTTGATAATTGACTGGACATTTAAAAATCAAAAATCACTTTGATAATTTAAAACCTTATATCCAACTTGCAGATTTTTTGCATTCCTCCAATGAAGGTCTGCCCTGCAGCTTATAAGCCGTAGTAGTGAAGTTAGAATGTGATCCATTGTTCACACTACTTGTTTTACCACTTCTTGCTCTGCAATCTCTGTCACTTTGCAAACCAGTGTGGTATGAAGGGGATTCAAGTCAAAGAATTATAGGTTTGTTTGGCAGCTGATGCTATCTGTAGGTTTTCTTGATTGATATTCATACCTGTTGAATGTCTTTATTATGAAAGTGAGCTGGATTTTGCCAAATGCTGTTCCTGCTTCTGTTTAGTTGTCATATGGATTTTCTCCTTTCATCCACTTGTATGGAATATTATATCGACAATTTTCCTATGTTGAACTAACCTTATACTCCTGGGATGAATTCCAGTTGATAACAGTGTATCATCTTTTTCTTTATTTCTCTGTTGGTTTGCTAGTAGTTTCTTGAGTATTTTTGTGTCTTTGTTCATG